TCCAGATCCCAGGGAAGGGGGGCCTCCCAGTCTTTAGTCTTCCACTTTGCCCTGGGGAGTGCCCTCCTCCTGGCCTCACCCCTAATGACTGGTGGGGCTGGAGGAGGGGCAGTCACTCTCCTCTCCCATAGATGTTTCCCAGGACCCCTGGACTCCCCCAGACATGACGAGGGGTGAGCTGGAGTTGGAGGCCGTGTCACCGGGGTGTAGGAGGGTGAGCAAAGGGGGCGCAACCCCAGGCTCAGCTGAAGGACCGAGACCCTGCTGGGGCCCTTCTTTCCGGCTGTTAGCAATCTGGGTGCAGGCTCTCAGAGCCATACCTCTGGGTCACTTGGTTACTTGCGGAGACCCTGGCCCCCTCTCATAAGTCCTCAGGCCGAGAGAGGGGCCTCACCCAGGGCAAAGCCAGCAACAGTAGCAGCCTCCTCCCACTTTCTGGGGGGGGAGGGCACCTTGCCCACCGCCTCCCTCCCTCCATGCCCATCTGCAGCCCTAGATGCCCTAGGCTCCGCCAGCCTGCAGGAGACTAAGCCTTGCGGCCTCCCCTCCTGCTCCCCCCTTCTCTCGCCTGTCTGGGAAGACGCTGGGAGGTCCGAGGGACCTTCTAGCCTGGCACCAGCAGGGGCACTGCAGCCAACGGGAAAGACAGGGGTGTGGCAGGAGGGAGGAGCCCAGGCCCTCAGGAGCAGGACAGTCACCCTTTCTTCCTTGTCCCCTCAGCCGGCCCTTACCCCCGAAGCGGCATCCCCCCTGCTAGCATCCCCTCCGGATCTCTCTCCCGGCCTGGGTACCAGATACAGGGTGTTGAGGGTGGGAGGAGGCAGAGGGCCTGCCCAGAGCCCGAGCGTGTCCTGCGGTGGGTGAGGGAGAGCCGTGGTGGCTTACGAAGCACTAGTACCGGCTACCAGCCTCTCCCATACGTGTGGGCTGGGGGCGCTTGGGAAGCAGACAGGGCAGGACAAAGCCGCAAGGTGTGAGGACACGGCTGGAAGAGGAGGCTCTTGGGAACCTCAGAGGTGAGGCCCCCGGACTTCTGGTAGCACCAGGAGGGGCCTGTGTCTGGGCCTCAGCGCTGCAGACACCCACCCCCTTCCACAGCACCTGGCCCCCTGGCCTCCAGGTAAAGACAGTAGGATACCCCAGCCCTCTGGCACCCCTCAGTCCTCTTTGGCTCCCTGCTTCTTCTCCCGACAGCGTACTCTTAGGTCGTGGACCCCAGCCTCCAGGCCCTGACCTTGTTCACAGCGCAGAGGGTCCCAGGAGATCTGGTAGGGGCCTGAACGGGGCCAGGCCTCCCTCAGGGCTAGGGGAGTTGGAGGGCGGGGATGAGGGCACCCCCAGGGACAAGCAGACTCCCCCCGCCCCAGCGCCCCATTTCCTGTCACTATCTGCTCTCTGGGCATCTGCTGCAGCCTGAGATGTGCCCTCGGCCGCTCAGAGCCCGAAGCCAGATTCTGGAAGCTCTCTGCCCTCCCAGCTCCATTCAAGAGCCTCTGCAGTCTCTCCTCCCGGTGGGATTGCCGTTGGAGGCCTCCGCCCCTCACCATGTACCCTTGGAAGGCAGGAATCTGGCACATCTGCGCCTTGGGGTCTGGGCTCCCCCTCTCTGTGCCAGTGGCTTTCTAGCACCTGGGGAGGGTCTGCGGTCCTGGCTGGACCCCAGGCCTGTCCCCTTTAGCACTCTAGCTGTCCACCCCCGTGGGGCAGGGACTTGAAATCCCATCCTTTCTGAGCAACCACCTCCATGGCCCAGTTTGGGACCACTCTCCCTCAGTCCCCAGACTCCTCAGGACCCTGGAGTGGGAAGGTCTCCCACCTGGCGGTCCCCCCCGCCCCCCGCCCTGAGCTCTGGGGGCCCAGCCCCGCCTGCCAGTGCTGGTGTCAGGGCACTCAACCACGGAGCGCGTGGGGGCCGCGCCCACCACCTCCTGTAGCCCCCTACCCGCCCCCTTGATGCTGCACGGGCCCACCCTGTGGGGCTCGGCGACTAATGTGTTTCGTCCCCAGTTAACCACCGTCGTGCAGCCCGGCTCTGCAAGGGGCCAGGGCTGCCCTGCCGCCCGCCATCTGCTGCCCTAGGCTTCCTGGCTCCATTAGTCCGACACTTGTGAAACTCCGAGAAGTGCTGTGGTCTCAGCAATGCACCTGTTTTTGTACATGATTGTGTAATTTAAAGGTATATAAATACAAATATATATATATCAGTTGTGATCGTATGACTGTGGATAAAATCCAGAACTGTGTCAACCTGGCTGGGCGTGGTCCTCTCGAGTCTTGTGTGTCTCTCCAGCTCTCTGAGAGTTCTCTGCGGCAGGGACATCTGTCTGGGAGGTGGTGCCCAGCGTGCTCTGGGCTGTCCCGGCTGACCGCCAATGGGCTGGTGGCAGGCCTCCTAACCTTCCGGGACCCTAGGTCCTGCACAGGGAGGGTGACAGATGGTCTCTGAGGCCCTACTGTTCTGCGTGCCTGGTGATGAGCACTGGCCCAAGAGCACTGGGGCGTTTGGGGTCCCAAATCACAGTTCAAGGGTGACCCCTAAATAGATTTGAACTTTTTTAAAAAAGTTTTTTATTTTGAGAGAGAGTGCATGAGGAGGGGAGGGAGACAGAGAGATGGAGAGAGAATTCCAAGTAGGCTCGGTGCTATCGGCACACAGCCTGACATGGGGCCCAGTCCCACGAACCCATGAGATCGTGACCTGAGTAGAAACCAAGAGTCAGATGCTTAACTGACTGAGCCACCCAGGCACCCCCAGGTTTTAATTAATTAATTAATTAATTAATTATGAGAGACAGAACATGAGCAGGGGAGGGGCAGAGAGAGAGGGAGGCATAGAATCTGAAGCAGGCTCCAGGCTCCAGGCTCCGAGCTGTCAGCACAGAGCCCGATACGGGGCTCGAACTCACAGATCGCCAGATCGTGACCTGAGCTGAAGTCAGACACTCAACTGACTGAGCCACCCAGGCGCCCCGTTTTTTTAAAATTCCTGCCTGGGCCCTGCCCCAGCCTCCCCACCCCCGGTTAGGTCCTCTTGGCCAGGGTGAGAGTGCCGTTCCGGGGCCAGTTCTGCCTCCAGTTTGCCACATCCTTACCCGCGCCCCGGCCTTGGCTTCCCCCAGTCGGGTCAGATGCCTCTCTGAGGCCCCCCTGGCCCCAGCAGCCTTGAACGGCCCTGACACAGACCCATTATTCAAGGAAAATACACTGCAGCCCCCACCCCGCCCTGCTGCTGTCCCCTGGCCTCGGACGGGGAGAAAAGGTCAAGGTGGGGGGTGATCTGTTCTCCACCTTGTGTCCTTTATCCCCCAGATCCACCTGCAGTGACAAGCCCCTGGCTTTAGCCCAACGGAAGAGGCTTCAGATAAAGACAAGGGGTTGCTTTATCCTACTTGTACAGCCTCTTCCGTGCAGCGGTGGGGAGCACTACAGGCAGAGTCCCGCGAGTAGGGTCAGGGACCAGGCTGGATGGAGTGCCGGGCAGGTGTGTGGAGGAGGAAGAAGAGGACTCTGAAGTTTGCCGTCAGCAGACAAGTGTCACTGGATGGCTGTGTGCCTGCCGAGGGGATGTGTCCCTGGCCACGCGGCAGGGACCTGCCTCACCCGGCCCCCCACAGCTCTCCTTTCTGGAGTAGCTCCTGCTCCCCATTCCTAGCCCCCAACCCCCCTCTTTTCCTCCCTCCCAGCCCCAGCCTGAGACCCCAAGCCGCCCCAGGTTCGGGTCAAGCTGGGGACCTGCAAGCAGGTGGCTCCAGGGACTCCCCTGGGGCAGGGCAGGAAGGCTGGAGAGCGGAGGGGAGTTCTCGCCAGCGTCCCAGGGGGCCCCCTCCCTGGGAAGAGGCAGACAGCCGAGACTCAGGCCCGGGGCAGGGCCCCCTCCTCCTGCCCGTCCAATCCCAACTGACAGATGCCAAGGTGGTGTTTGCTCACCGCCAGAAGTAAACTTTCTTCTAGAGACAATAAAATTGCTGAGGGCAGAAGGCAGCAGAGCAGGGCAGCATTTAACCCTCAGTGGTCTGGGCCGCGCTGACTGCCTCCCAGCCCCGGTCCCCCGGGAGCCTGTCATCAGAACCTGCGGGTTATGGAGGCTAAGGGTGCCAACCAGTCACAAAGCAGGGAGCGTGGAGGGGCAGAGAGCGGGCTGTCCTTGTGGGTCCCGCTCCTGGTTCTGCCACTGACTGGCTGTGTGACTCCGAGTAAGTTGCTTCACTGCTCTGAGCCTTAGTTTCATTGTCTGTAGAACAGGGGAGGAACGCCCACCTCACAGTTTTGTCCGGAGGGTTAATGACAAAAAAGCCATAGAAATGCCTAGGCATGTTGAGGAAGCTGAGACAGTTGCTGCCCCCAGGAGAGTAGGTGGTGGGTCCCCTCTCCCCCCAAGCACACACACAGACACTCTGACCCCCACCGGTGACCATCACGTGGCATTGCAGAGGTCTGTGACCCTCTAAGAGAGACACCGCAAACAAATCCACCTCCCTTCCAACCCGTTTGCTGCAGAGCCAGGGTCCCATAATGGGGGCTGACGTGCCCCTGCACCCCTGCTGCCCCTCCCAGAGCTATTCTGATTGGCCAAGCAGAGACCAGGGCTCAGGGCTCAGGGGCCCCTCCCAACCCCCCCAAAAGAGGGTTAGCACCCTGGTCATTTCATCCAGAAAGCCCCGATCTATAGCACGGCAAGAGGGCACAGGGGATGCCACCTTTTTTCCATGCCTAAGTAGGTAGACCCTCTTCAGCCCCAGCCCCGTGCCTTCCCACCGGCCCCCACGTGGGTGAGCAGAGATGAGGGCCATTCTAGCCCCTCCTAGGCCTTGAGGACTCACTGTCTCTCTCCCACAGCTTCTACCAATCAATTATCCCTTTCCTTTTAGACTCAGCTCAATGCCACCTCCCCCAGGAAGCCCCCCGTGATCACCCCAAGGCCAATGTGACCACAACCACTTTGAGCACTGGTGGCCTCAGGGTTGTGCCACTCACTTGCTGCACAGACACTGGGGCCATGGTAGTTCTCTAGCATCTTTATTATCCGTTCCCAGGAGCACCCCAGGCTCCCCGACTCGGGGTTGCGGATGTCTCCTAGCACCACGCCAAGCATGGTGCAGGATGGGCGGCAGGGAGGGCTGGACTGCTAGCGGCCATGGCTAAGTCACTGTCATTCCAGGCTCGGCTCTGGAAATTCTGGGGTCAGAGGCTGGGGTCGGGGGACGGCCTTCCCCGGGGAGCCGTGAACACGGAGGACGGCCCAGGCTTCTAACATCCTCCAGCGGACTGAGCGCCTGAGCAGTCAGCCCCGAGCAGGAAGCTCTCCCACCCTGGGGTCCCCTGGGCCCGGGAGAGCTCATTTATGCCCCTGGAAGCAGTGGGCCGTGCCCTCCCGGACCTTACACTCCGTTGCCAGGAGACGGCGCTCTCTCTCAGCTCAGGGACTGCGGGAGACGGGGTGGGCAGGAGGGGGCCTGCCGAGGGCGGCCCGCAGCCCTCAGATGGGGTGCACAAACTGGTAGACTAGGCGCTGGGAGATGTCTGGTTTCCGGATGATGCCCTTCTTGTAATACTGGCGGATGGAGCGGCTCAGCTTGTCGTAGTTCATGGCCGGCCGGTTCTTGCGGAGGCCCCACAGCCGGGCCACCTGAGCCGAGTCCTCAATTTTGAAGATGCCTGGGGGGGACGGGAGGGGGGTGCCCAGAGAGCGCCAGCGGTGGGAGGCGGGGGCGTGGCAGGAGAGAGAAAGACCAAAGCCAGCAGGTCAGTGTCAGTGGTGGGGGGGAGCAAGGGCCAGGATGGGGGGGAGGGGCATAAGGCGGGGGAGGGGGGCGGGGCATACTGTCCACTCCCAAGGTTGCGGCGAGGGTTAAAGAACTGTGCAGTGTGTCCCAGGCCCCGGTAAGTGATAAATGAGACTAGGGAGCCACAAACTGCCTGAGTGCAGGGGGAGCCTGTGTACTTTAGTGGGTTATTTGGGGCCCGAGGGCCCGGCCCCTACCAGCCTCTGCTCCCATTATCGGGTTTGCACACCCTGCACAGAAGCCCTGTGGGGCTCTGCAGCTCATGTGTCAAGGTCATCCCCACCTCCACCCCTACCACCTTGACCAGCAGTTCCCAGGCCTGAAAGACCTCTCTGCAGGCCTCAGACGCTGAAGCCCAACACAGCCCTTTCTGGTAGGATTAATTCAGAGCAGGTGGGGGAAAGTGTGGATTTGGAGCCTGTCCCTGCCATATTCTGCCTTTAGAAGCAGTGTGAGGCCCCTTCCTCCTGGGGGTGGAGGGGGTTGTAGTGGTAAAAGAAAGTGTTCACAGCGGGAAGTCCCCCTTGGGAGGAACTATTACATTGTTAACAATCTCAGATCTCCTAACCCTCTGGCAAAACCCAGGCCAGCACACTCCCTCCAGGAAGTCTTCCCAGACCACCTTGCCTTCCCTGATCTCCTCTCCCTAGAAGTCTATCATGGAACCGCCTTCTCAGGACGGGGCTCGCATTAAGTCTCAAATATACATGAGGGTTACTGTGCCTTGTGCAGGAACTTCTCTCCACCCCCTCGGCCCCATTCGTCCTTCACACTCAGCCCAAGTCACCTCTCCCAAGAAGTCTTCCTGAACAAGGCGCAGCTGCCCCCCACCCCCCCAGCACCCTGTCGCAGTGCCTGCAGACTCTGTACACCAGCTCATCTCACTGCTGGTTCTCCTATAAACGTCAGGTCCCTCGAGGACAGGGTGCAGCTGAGTCCTCCTTGCACCAGAGGGACACTTACTCTCTGTAAATGTTGGCTGGGCAAATGTAGAACCAGAGGACGTGCTCAGCGAAGCTTTGTTGGGGGAATGAATCCAGCCCATTTTATAGATCAGAAGACTGAGGTCCCAATACCCATAGCTACTAATGAGAGGATGGGGCCTAGAACCCAGGTTTCTTGGCTCTGAGTTTTTTCCAAAACACACACGCGCGAGCGGACACCATCTAGTCCTGCACTGTATAGTGAGGTAGCCGCTAGCCATACATGGCCCTTGAACACTTGAAATGTGGCTAGTCCAAATTGAGATGTACTACAAGTGTCAATTACATGCCAGAGTTTGAAGACTTAGTAAAACTATCTCATCAGTAATTTTACATGGATTATGTGTTGAAAATTTAATAATCTCTAATATTAGATTAAATAAAAACATTATTAAAATTAAACTCATCTGTTAAAGGGCACCTGAGTGGCTCAGTCGATTAAGCGTCTGACTCTGGATTTCGGCTCAAGTCATGATCTCACGGTTTCATGAGTTCGAGCCCCACATGGGCTCTGTGCCAATGGCACAGACCTGCTTGGGATTCTCCCTCTCCCCCTCCCCCTCCCCTACTTGAACTCTCTCTGTCTCTGAAAATAAATAAATAAACTTTAGAAGTAAAATTCACCTGTTATAGTTTGTTTTTTTAACATGGCCTCTTGGAAATCTATTACTGCGTATGTGGCCACGTGGTGTTTCTCACTGGGCACATCAGGCTCCCTGATGAAGCTATGGTGTTTTGAAGGCAAAGACTGTGTCCAGTTCCCAGCAGAGTACTAAGCCCTTAGTGTGTCCCAGGCCCTGGTGGAGCTGCGTGCCCTACAGAGGACAGAGCTTGGCCGGAGACACGGCGGCTCACAGACCCCGGGCCGGCCCAACGATGGCAGCATGTCTGGCGTTCAGGGCAAAAGCAGGGGGGCAGCTCTCCCACCCCCCCACCATCCCTGTGCCTGGCAGGAGGCCAGCGGTGGGGAGCAGCTGCGTGGGGAGCCTGGCTCACCCTTCTCCTTGTTGAGCCACCGGATGAAGCGGCCGTAGCTGTGCGGCTTCAACAGCAGCTCCTTGAGGAACTGCCACAGGTGGATGGGCTGCCCGGAGCACGAGGAGTCCGCCTCGCTGTCGGTCCAGCCGTCCTCGCTGGCGGAGGCTGGACAGCCAGGGAGGGTGGCGGTGAGCGGGGGCAGCCACCCCTCAGCCCCGCACCCCCGCCCCTCCCTGCCGCCCGGGCTCACCGCAGCAGTGAATCGCCCCAGGAGAAGTCCTCTCTTTCATCCAGGCCGCTGCGGGGCAAGGAGAGAAGGTTGAGACCCAGGGCAGACCTCAAAGGCGGAAGAAGGTGCTTTGGGGGGGGCTGCGGCTAAGGCCAAGTGATGGGGGCAGAAGCTAGCCGCCTCCACCCACATCATCACCGCCTGGCTCATTAGCCGGGCGCTTGCTGGCTGGTGGGCGGGGGCAGGACCCGGGTTCTACTGGTCACACATACGAGTGGGTCCCGTGCCTTTACTCATCCCAGGCCCCGAAGGGCAGGGCCCTTCACTCACTGGGCAACCACTGCCTCCCCCAAAGCTCCGGGTGGGGCACACAGTGGGATACGGGACGACTTGGGCATTGAGGGGCTGGCGCACAGCCATTAGAAGTAGGGCAGCTGTGGAGACGCTGTTGGGGAGCCAGATGCAAGATGAACCAAGAGCAGCACAGTGTGAGACTCTGGCACTACCCGGGTTCCAAACGGGTGAAAACCACACATGCACATTTGCTCGGTGCATGCCCAGACTCTCGCCAGCAAGGTACCCAAGAACCCCATAACCGGGGTTGCCTCCACAGAGGGGGACTGGAAGACGGGGGTCGGGGGCGAGCGGGAAAATTCCTTTCCTCGGTACTGTTTTCCCTATGGCCTTTTTAGGTCATTCACGAGTACCTCATTACTCCTTTAATGAGAAACAACACAGAACAAGCAAATGCAGTTTCAAAAGGACAAAGGAGGACATTGTGGTCCCCACAGTCCCCATCAACGATGCAGTCCACGCCCTCACAGCCTGACTCCTGCCTTTTAACTTCCCACACGTTCTGCCCTAAGAGCTGTGGGTTTGCCCAGGGCTGGGGCAGGTCGGGGCTGGTGAGGTGGATCCGGGGCTGCAAGTGGGGCTGAGATTTAGAGCAGAGCCCAGCAGAGAGAGACCCTGGTGGGGGTCCCGGCCTAGCCGTCCCCCTCGGGGTCCCTGGTGTGGAGCTTGGGAGGTGCCTCTCTCACCCATGCCATGTCCCACCTGATTTCCAGATGTCCAGGTGGGCGTGCAGCACGTCCCCACCCAGAGGTGAGCGCTGGCGGAACTGCTCCTCCGACAGGGCGCACAGTTCCTTGCCCCCCAGCTCCTGGAAGGCCTTGCCCACGGGGGGCAGCCGGTACTGGTGCTCCGTCCACAGGAGCCACTTCTGCACGTTGCCAGGGCTCCAGTCCATGGGGTCTGGACAAGACATACTCCCTCAGTTCCACAGGCTACTTGAGGCCACCGCGCCGAATGTGGCTGGCTGTGCTCTGGCGCGGCACCCGTGGGACATGGAAGCTTGTGGCCTGGACCGCGTGCTCTTGGGGTAAGAACAGGCCGGGCCAGACAGGTCTTGAGGGGCCCCGTGGAGGGGCACCCGAGAAGAGAGGGGAGTGAGGGGCAGGGACCAGGGCCCTAAAAACAAACTTGGCTCCGGGCAGGGTAGCCTGGGGTCTCTGCACCCCCTGCCTCGCCCAGACCTCAGGTCCTCCCAACCCCTCCAGTCCCTCCAAAAGGCCTTTCAGGAAGCCCCTGCCCTGGAGGGGACAGTGACATCAAACCAGAGACCCCTGAGCTTCTCACTCAGCTGTCTCTTGCCTTCCCCAAGCCCTTCAAGGAACCAGGATAAAAAACCCAACTGGGAATTAGTCCTGCAGCCCGAACCCTAATCCCCACCGCATTTTACAGATGAGGAAACTGAGGCACAGAGAGTTGAAGCCCCTCATCCGACACCTAACAAAGGGCGGGGTACGTACTAGCAAGAGCATTGAACGGATAAATGGTGGTTATGGGGCAGCTCTCTAGGCCTCAGAGGCTAGGAAGAGAGTCACTGGCTAGGTCCCAGATGTCCCCCGGGGGCTGCTCTGGGGCGAGACTGGCGGGGCCCTCAGGTGGAGGCCAGGCTGGAGGCAGTCACAATGGGACCCCCAAGTGAACACTGTGGTCTAAGCTGGTGCCCTAGCTGGGTGACCTGCAGGCCAGGCTGCCCCCACTTACTTAATAAGCCCATTTTCCTTCCCAGGGTCAAGGCCATTTGTTCCTGTCCCCATTGTTCAGAGGGTAGGCCCCTCCCCAGCCCGGGGTGAGTGAGGAAGCAGGATGGGAAAACCTCCAGGGGCGGGGACAGCAGGGGCATTGGGCACCTGGGGGACTGGGGTGGTGCACCAGCTGGGCCGGTTGGGGGCGGGGCCGGGCCTGGATGACTGAGGAGGAGGGGCTGGGTCTGAGGGCCACCCGAAGGCTTTTTGTGCGAGTGGGACGCTCAAACGCCAGGATCCCGGGACCAAGGAGATGGGCAGGCCTGCCTGAAGCTGGAGAGATGATGCGGGAACAGGAGGCTGGAGACCCAGCAGCCCCTCAAGCCACAGCGGCAGCCCTGCAACCGCACCTTCCAGGCGCTGGCTGACACACGTATGCCCGAACTCCTAATGCCCCCTCCTCCTCAGAGCCCTCCTCACCATCAACGGGGCCACACGTTTATCTATTTATCTATGAGCCGTTTCCCTCTCTGTGATGTCAGCTCAGCGGATAAAGGGGCTTTTGAGTGGTGCTCACCACTACATTCCCCCAGTGCTGGAACAGAGCCTGCCACATTCAGAAGCTACTGTTTATTGAGCATCTATTTATGCGAGCTGTCATTCTAGAAACTGGGGAGATAGCAGTGAACCAAACAAATGAAAATCCCTGCCCTTGGGGTGTGTACATTCCAGTGGGGGAGACAGACAGGGAATGAAATGGATAAATAAAATACGCAGGGTATGAGACCATACACGTGATGAAAGAAATAAAGCAGGTAAGGAGGAATAAGAGACGGTGGTGTGGACAGTGATTTCAAGAGCGGGGCCAGGGAAAGCCTTATCAAGAGAGTGCCATCGGAGTCAAGATCTGAAGGAGGCAAGGGGCGAGCCAAGGGAATATTTGGGGGAAGGGCGTTTTAGATGGAGAAACCAGGAGATGCAAAGGTCCTGAGGTGTGAGGGTCGTGGGCACACCAAAGAGCAGGTGTAGCGGGGGGAAGGGTAAATGAGAGCGTGGAGATGAGTCCGAGGGGAGGGGGAGGGCCAGGTGGAGAAGAGCCTGATTTCATTGCCTCCAGCAGTTGGGGCACAGAGAGGGCAGGAGCCTTCCCCTGCTCACAGCTGCTGTGTGCCGTGGGCTGACCGCTCATGCAAGATCACCAGCGTGTCTGGGGTTGCAGAGGCAGGGCCGGGGGTGGCCAGAGTGTGCCCTTACCCCCCCCACCCCCGCCCCCGGCGACCTCAGCCCTACCTGGGACCCGCCTTACGGAGGTGGGCGTGCAGAAAAGCTCACCCGCTGTGATGTTGAGCAGCTTACAGGCCGTCTCGATGTCCTTAAGCACTTCGCCCACCACCATGCTCTGCACCTGTTCCAGCGAGTGCTCCTCCAGGGTCAGCCCCCCCGGTGCCAAGTCCAGGCTGCCCCCGGGGGCTTGGCTGTCGATGACCGGGCACTGCTCGGGCTCGTCCGGTGTCTCCTCCCGAGCACCGGCCCCGGGGCCCTTGGTGGCCCAGGTGCCGTCCTCAGGGTACAGCATGTCAAAGTAGGAGAGGTAGAAGGCAGACAGGCCCTGGTCGGGCGTGGCAGGGGGGCTGGGGCTCCAGTCCCGTCTCTCAGGCCCCACGGCCCCCGCTGCCACCTTTTCCAGGCCCGTCCGCAGCACAGCGTCTGGGGGCAGCAGGAGGCGGCTGGGGGCCACGCTGCTCAGGCCCGGGCTGGTGCTGCCCATGCTGCCGTTGCTGGGGCTGGTGGCTGTGTCTGCAGAAATAAGAGAGGAAGGCAAATCAGGGTCTGGCTGCTTCCCCATCCCTGTGGGGGCCACTAAGCTGGTTATTGGGATGAGGGGCCCACTGGGCCTGGGAGAGAGTTGGGGCTTCCGGGTCACTGGGCAGTTAAAGGACAGGGCTGGGCAGATAGGCCTCTGGCTGGGAAGGAAAGGGAGATGTCAACAGCTTCCCCCTCCCCAAGAAAGCCGGGTTGGCTGAGAGCAGTACATCTTCACATGAGCTGAGCCGTGTGCTTACAAGCTTCTGAGGTTCTCGACCTTATTTAGTCCTCACGATGGAGGACATGAGTAGCCCCATTTGGTAGATGAGCAAACTGAGGTCCGGACAAGGAAACTTTCATGTCCAGGCCTCTTTCCCCGGGGCCAGCCCAGGCCCAGATCACCAGTCCACTGTCCTGTGGAGGAAGTTCCTTTTGAGAGCTAGCCTAAATCTCTCTTGCTATAGCAAAGCTTGTTTTCTTTTATTCTTCCCCTAAAGACTGTGGCAGGGAAGGGAGGTCACCGTCTCCTTCACCTGGCAGGTGAGGGAGCAAGAAGCACGTGGGGGGGGGGTTGATTCCCCTCACAAGTCAGGGAGGCGGGCCCTCTTCCCTTCCACAGCCATTTAGGGGGTGTGGATAAATTAACACTGCTGAGGCAGTCACGGAACACCACGGCTCGGCTCGGGACTCGTTCCTGGCACCCACCCAGCGCATCCTCCTCAAAGGCACCGCCCCCCGCCCCTCCCAGTGCCCAGGGCCCTCTCCTTTCCCCTGGCCCTGGAGGAGTGTGGGCTGAGGAAGGGCAGACCTCCAGGCCCAGCAGGGGAGGGGCGTGGGGAGGCGGAGAGGGGCAGAAGGAGAGTAGGGGGTGTGGTGAGAAGGCCCACGCTCTGGGGAATGGCTGAGGCCTGCAGAAATTCAGACCCATATTCCTCCTGCGCCCCAAGGTCCCCCCAGGGGGCTAACAATTGTACTAAAAACAGGAGCTAGAGGTCTCTTTCCACATGGGTCATGCAGGCTCTGCTTTGCTGGGGGCCCTTTTCCTCTGCGCCCCAAATTGGAGCAGGCGGCCTGGGTGAGGCAGGGGCCTCTGGAGAAGTGCAATACCAAAACACCAGGGTTCCGGGGCTATTTCTGCGATCTGGGGGCCTGGGACCCCAGCATGAGTCAGGAGCGAGGTGGAAGGTTAGCAGCAAAGATAGGCTCCTAATGCGAGTCCGCAGGGGGGAAAGGAGCAGATAAACCTGCTAAGGGCCAGTTGATGTGTGTGCATGTGTTTCTTACAACGTGATGCCTGAGGCGGCGGCAGCAGCGCACCTGGGAGCTTGGTAAAAATGCAGCTTCTCAGGCCGACCTCAGAGCTACTGAATCTGAAGCTCCGGGAAAACCCAGCAAAGCGTTTCAACAGGGCCGCTGGGTAATTCTGACACATTCCCAGGTGAGAATTGCCACTTTAAAGGCATCTGGCCAGTCAGAGGGAGAGGCAGCCATCAAAGGACTGTTACTGGTGGCATTTGCTGTGCCGCAGTGGGACAGTGGGGGCCCCCCGGCCCACCGTGGGTCACTGCGGGGGACTGACCGCTTAGCCTTGGTGTGCAGCGGCATTTACCCCTGGAGGGGGCACGGGGAAAGAACCCAGTGGGGAAGATCCTCTGGCTCCTCTGGGCTTGCCGCTGGCCCATCCCACACCTTCAAATATCTCAGAAACGAGCATTCTTGCTCTCCCGATGGCGGAGCTCGGGGAATGGAGCCCAGGACGAATTTCAGCTCCCTCTCGCCCCCTCCCTTGTGCAGTGCCCAACCTTCCCAGCTTCAACATGGCAGCCGTACAATTTCCTGTGGTGGGGAGAATGCCAGCGAGCGAGAAGGGTGTTCCCTTTGATTTCGACTCTCCCTTTCAAGAGCTCCTTTAAGTGACAAGGAAGGAAAGGTCAGGGTGGGGTGGGGTCGCGGGGGACAGAGGGCAGGCCTGGAATGATTTCAAGGCCTTCTGTGCAAACATACGTGTGTGCTGTGGGCCCAACATTATTTACCCAGGCAGTGCCAACAGGCCGCTCTGCTCCTGGGTCCCCACCCCGGCCTCTGCCCACGCCCTACCCCCAGGAGGCCCCACCCCTGGAGAGCCCCTCTCGGCCCCCCACCTCGTCACCCCTGCCTGCCTCCTGCCCTGTCCACGTCCCCAGAACTCCCGTGCCTGCCACGTTAGGACCGACTCTGCCAGCACCCTGGGCCATGTGCCAGCGAGACGGAAAGCTTTTCCAAGAAGCAGGAGAACTTGCTTTCCTCATGGTCCTCCTGTTTGCGTGGCCGCAGCCACAGGCAGGATGGGAGGCACAGCTGCCGCGTTTCGGGGCGCAGGGGCACGAGGGGTCAGTGAGCGTGAATGGGTGGGGCGGGCGGCAGCATTTGCTAAGTAGGGATGTGATGACACAGGCCTGACGCATTGAGCGAGGGCCCCTTGAATCCATCCTTCCCTGGAGAGAGGCTGCCCAGGCCTTAGTCTCACTCCCATTTTGTGGATGGGCAAGTGAAGGTGCAGAGATAAGTGACTTGCCTCCAGGTCTTTGGACTGCGGGCCCAGTCGAGTTCCCGCCTCCTCCCCACCCTGCCTGTCAGCTCCCCCTCACCTGCTCCTAAATGCCAGGGAACCTGCTCTAAACCAAGGCTCGGTCCCAGCTCCCAATACCTCCCTGGTGCAAAATAAGTTAATAATTAACCGTGCAGGGGGAGGAAAGATCTGACTCCCCACAGGTGGGGAGGTGGTGGGGAATGCTCTGACCCCCGCAGCTCAGATCTGGGGGGACCTTGGTTTTCTGGTCAGGGAGCCGGGGGTGAGGGGTTGTGTCCGGCCTGCAACTCTGGTGTCTGGCTCCAGGGCCAGACTCGGGAGGGAAGAGAGAACTGCTCAGTGAGCACGTCCCCAGAGCGTTCACACCCGTCACAGCCTTTACGACCCGCAGCCCCAGGGGACGTGGGCTCAAGAGCCCTGTTTTATGGAGGTGGACAGGGGGACACAGAGATCTTAATGCAGCTTGCCAGAAGTCCCCAGCTGGCCACGTGCAGGCTGTGCTCACTGTGACACATTCCCTCTGAGGCTGGCCGGTCCATTTTCCCAGGGTCCTGTCCACCTCCTGATTGGGCAACTTGATCCTCCAAAGTCCATTCCCACATCCTGACTGCTCACTCCACCCCTCTGTCTAGCTCATTTCCCTTCAATACCCCTTCACCGGGCACCCCTGTGCTCCCCATTGCCACCCTTATGCAATTCCAACGGCCGGTGCCCATGTCTGAGCCCACCTCCTACCCAGCCCAGGTGATCAGAGTTGGAAGGGACCATATGTTATGCGAATGTTTTATAGATCGCATACGGGGAAGGGATTCATTTGCTGGTCAGTGGCAGGGTCTGTGGCAGGGTCTGGACCAGAACCAGGGATGGAGCGACGTGGCGGCCGTGTCCGGGCTCTAATGACAATGGCGTTTCTCCCCTGGCCACAGTGCTGTGGGCACACCATGGCTATTTTCTCTTGGCTTGCCATCCCCCTGCCCAATATGCCACTTCGCTTTGATCACAGATTCACATTCAGCCCAAAGCCCCTCCTCCCCCCAAAAGCCCTCCTCAACAGGCTCCTCCTCTGACTTCCCACCTCTTCCCACCTGTGCCGTGCCATTCAACCAGGATTATGTCCACAGGTGATTGTTCGCCTGTGGAGACGCCTGTGCACCAGGAAAAACAGGGCTCAGAGAGTGGCAGGGAAGTGCCCATAGTCATGGCAGAGTGAGGACCAAACCTGAGGCCTGCTGACCCTCGGGCTACAGCTCCTCAGGCCAGGGTCCGGGGACAAGCCCCTCACTGGCCAAGTCCAGGTCCCTGGGAAGGCCAGCCCAGCCCTCTCACCGGCCTGCGCAGGCCGGGCCCAAGGGCTGCCCGTCTCCCGAGCGATGCCTCCAGCTCCCAAACCTCGAGCTGATCTTTTCTGGATTAAACCACATGTCTGGATTAAGGCTCAGCATGTCCTGGCTCCCTCCTGCCCCAGAGCCTCTGGCTCAGAGTCCAGACAAAGGAAATTTGGTAACAGCTGGTAGAGGCCAAGGACCAGTTATGGGGCCGGACCGGTGGGGCCGCGGCCAGATGGATTAGCCACCTCAGGGGCCCTTCTCTCGGCACCTCCCACTCCCTCAGGAAAGCAGATCAGGGAGAGCGGGCAAAGGGACCCAGAGCTGGAGATTTATAGCCACCGTTTCCCGCCACTCCTCGGCCTCCCAGGCTCTCGCTGCCACCCCGACCTGGCACCCAGCAAAAGATCGCCTGATACCCCTGAAGCCGCATCCGCAGCCTCAGGAAAACGGAGTTCCCAGCGAGGTCTTTGCGAAGGCTCCGGGCCCTCACGGGGTTGGTGCCTGTCTCCCCGTCCTGCTCGGTGCAGGCTCCCAGATTGTACCCCTAGGGGGATTGTGGGTGGGATAAATGTTCTTGAGCCCCTACCTCAGTCGTGAGACCCAGCCTCAGGCTGCCCAGAGCCTAGGACCCCGGCAGCAGACCCCAGAGAAGAGCGCCAAGGGAGAGTGGGCGGGGCAGGGTGACAGAGCCTGCCACTGAGCTCTGAGTTGGCCTCTTTCCACCGGCTGGGGCAGACCTTCTCCGGCTTCCTCCCTGCGGCCCACGGTCCTGGCTGTCAGCCTCTCTCTCCCTCCATGCAAGGCCTTCCTTCAATGGGTTGGCGTCGAGAGACCGTGGGGGTGTGACTAGGGCCCAGCCAGGGGACATGCAGAGTGGGTAGGGGCCACATGAGCCTGCCTGCCAGTCAGCTGGTCAGCACCTTGGAGAGAAGCTGGGCCTGGCCAGGATGCAGGGAAACTGAGGCTGGTGCCCGACCCTCCCGCCTCTGGACCCAGCCTCTCCCTGTTCCTTTCTCACTCTTCCACTCTTCCTCCGGCCCCCTCACTTCTCAGATGCTCCTGCCCTCCATGGAACCTCAGCTCCCTTCAAACACACTGGACCCAAGAAAAGGACCCAGCCTCCTCCTTACCGACCACCCTTCCCTGCCTAGAGTGCCGCCTCTCCCTACTGGACAGGTTGCCTTCTCACCCAGCATGGTGAGAAGCTGAGGTCGGCCGCTTCCAGGCAGCTCTGGCCTTCCTCAGGCGCCCCAGGTGCCTGCTGCCCCTGGGGTTTCCAAGGGCAGAAAGTAGGGAGGTGGGTCCATCGGGGTGACCGGGGGAGGACTTGTCTATCTGGGCCTCAGCGTGAGAACAGGGTGTAGGTTTCTTTGAGGCCTCCTGGCTTCCTCCCACCTCCTCAGGT